TTCTCTCTGTCTTCTTCAGAAGCCAATGCACTAATCATATCTTGACCAACAGCAGCAGCACAGGATGGATCAGGGCACCTCAGCATCAAACATCCAGGACCATCATTGATGGCTGTGCTAATATAACCTAAGCAAGAAAACAAGAGAGTATGTATAGGAAGATTTCACAAGAAAATATGAAAAGGTCGGTAAACACAAAACTTCAAATAGTTGCCTATAAACTCTCAGAGAAAAATCATTGAAATGGTCAGTTCCATAGAATGGTTAGGAAAATACAGCTAGAATGGATAAAGTACTGTCAGGCTAGCTACCGAGCTTAACAATACAATACATATAGCTAAAGTACAATAATCATGTACAAGCGCCATGTTGAGCTGATTGAGAGTTCCAAAATATGGACTATTCATCATGACCAGGATAAATAGTAGAAATAAAGAATTATTCGCAGATCATTAGACCTCTACCCCTTCAAAGTCAGCTGAGCATGTGCAGCCATTGCTTTGACCAAAAAAAGATTTCCAAAGTCTGACCTATAACTCTTGAAACAACATCAAAACTAAAAAAAACATAAAGCATTTCTGGATCAAAACAGACCTGTCCAGCAAGATTTACAAAAAGGATGACCACATGCAGCAGTGTGAAGCCTATCAGAAGCACAGTTTTCAAAACATATCCCACAAATCATCTGCCAAAAGAAGAAATATGAAGAAAAATAAAAAGTATAAGCCGTCAAAGAGCACAGAGCAAGCAAGCATAGGAAATCTTAGCTCAAAAATAAACATGTGAAAACTCTCATTTGAGTGTTCCACAACTCACTTCTCTACCATCAGGAAATGGAACTACAGGCTTCTCCAATAAGCCAACAGACCTGCGAACCTTTTCCTCATCTGCAAACCATTCATCATGTACTTTACTGACACTCCTGTAAGTCCAAAATGAACATAAATCATTTACAACAACAAGCCACACAAACATACCATTGCCAAGAGATTGCAATATAGATCCCTATTGAACAAAACAGAGAAACAATAATTTCACTCTACATTTAAATAGATGCAGCTAAAGTCCACTAAAAATGATTTTGTAAATAACTAAAAAAGCCTCTGCAAAATTTTAAAAGGAACAGAAGTGATTCAAGTAACATAATTTAAATCAACAAGATCACTCACCAACTATAGTACCGTAGCAGGTTGCTTGCTTCAACCTTTGAGATGGAAAGCACAGTAGATATCCTCATGATATCATCCTCTTGATGCTGGCGAATATCTACTTCACTCAAAATGGTATAATTTTGCTAAGACAAAAGAGACATCAATTTAGGATAAATTGCTTAAAAAAATTAAATAATTAACAAAACAAGGGCTCAAAAACCACAAACTTTTAGGTACACAAGGTTGACAAAGAGAACATGTTTCAATTTTAGACATTTTACTATGCAGCATTAGAAAAGGTAGGTATTCCTGACATTCACTATGGACTGTTCAGTAATCTTAGTGTTGCATATAACATAATCCTATAGTTCATATTAAGTAAAAGCTTCAACCAAAGAAGCAAACAATAGGTAAATTCCTTTCACAGTTGAGGTCTCCTTTCTAGTTTTTAGTGTGCAATGGCATCACAGAAATTTAACAAGATCCACAAATGCTCCAAAAAGATTAAAAAATCTGTGTACATTGTCAAAATTTTGAAAACAAGGCAAAGCCAAAATTTCGAAATTTGGCAACTAATTTTAGAAATAAGGCTTTTTTAAAAATATAAAAGTTGAAACATATAATTATCCCCTTTTTTTCTTCTAATTTTATGATTTTATTGGTTCTTTTATACTGACACATTCACCATTTGAGCTGATCACTTAGCTCGTCCTAGTTCATACAACTAAATAGTATAGATTTGACAAACATCTTAACCAAAACCAACGCTCATCATCAAATGACAACATAATACTATAAATTAACAATAAAATGCAAGGTAACATTAGCTTTAAAATTCCGAAATGCAAAATGAAAAAACAAAGAAAATAAAGCAAAATCGAAAAATAAGAAGAACAAATACCTGGTGTCGATGATAGACGAGATCATCAGAATCATCCGAATCATTGTCGATGAACTCGTAATCGGCAACATCGGCATCCGAATCATCGTAAACAGCGGCGATGGGCCCGGCATCATCGTCACCGCCGCTGTAGAAGTCGTCTTCCTCCCCTGGTTCGTTGTCGGCGTCGTGCATATCGAACTCATCCTCTGATTCCATTCTCCCTGCTGTTTTTCTTTCCTCTTTAATAGTCAATGTATCAATAGGAACCAACAAAATCAGTGAGTAGATTGAAGAATCTGAGAGAAAGCAAACCCTAGAAATGAGTAATGATCGGACGCAGCAGAGATTGGAGATGGATTGCGGCTGGCGAAGAAAATAATTTGACAAAAGCGACAGATAAAGTCTACAATAAGTGAATATTTTGTTAATATAAAGTTAAAAAAAAATTGGTTATAACTAAAAATTACATAAAATACATAAATCACCTGATCTCGGTGATAATGAAGTTATTAAGATTTTCAGTTTCAACATTACGAATGTAGGAGGAATAAACTTTCGATATGAAATAATTAAGAATTGTTTTTGAACGTATATTATTTTATATTTATTTTAAGTTAATAAAAAATTAGGATAAATTACGTATTTAATATTTAAATTATAAATTTTGATACATTTTAGTACTTAAATTTTTAAAATTTTTAAAATCATACCTAAAGTTTAGTTTTTGTTTCATTTTAGTACACATGTTCAAAATTTAACGTGAAGTCTTGGAAAAATTAAAAGTTTAGGTACTAATACAGACTAAAATTGATAGTTGCCAAACTAAACGTGTTAAGTTTTTAATAGTGGATACTAAAATGAAACCAAAACTAAATATCAGGTATGATTTTGAAAAAAATTAAAAGTTTAGATACTAAAATAGATCAAAATTGATAATTTGGATATTAAATGCGTAAATTACCTAAGAAATTATCAAGACCATCATTTTTTGAGTTAGACATGATAATATTTTAAGTTAAAAATAAAAAAATATTACTTCTCCGTAACATTTTTGTTGCAACCGAAGTTCTAAACCTCTTGCAATATAATTTTTCGGTTACAATCGAAAATGTTACAAATTTATATAATTTTAAAGTTGAACATGATAATAATTTAAGTTAAACGTCTCTTAAATTAAACCGTTGTACCATAAAACTCTTCTAAAGAGTATAAATAAATGAGTTTGAATAAATAAAATTATATTTATATTTATTTATTTTTAAAGATTTTATATTTATTTTGTATTTGTTTAAATATTTAATATAGTATTAACTAACATATTAAAAAACAAACAAAATGTAAATAAAACAAAACCAATTGAATGGTGAAATTATGTTATTAGTCCTTAATTTTTTAAGTTTCACAATTTGAACTGAAAATTTATTTTATATTTAATTTAGTTTATACATTTACTAATATTTAAAATATAAAAAAATGAGAACTACGCAAATTAGCTTGTTCGTGAACATAAACAAAATTAACAAACACCGATCCATGTTCGTTCGTTTATTAAAAAAATATAAAAATTTTATTCATACTCGTCAAATCGAATACATATAATTTTGATCATTTTATTAAAGAATAATTCTTATTTCTAGAATTTATGAAGTGAAGATTATCATTTTACATGATCTTTAATTTTTTAGAATTAATATAATTATATTAACATGTTAATTATGTCATTGTCTTAGACCATTGAAAACTATCTACCTTTTTCTCTTTTCTCTTTTCTCTTCATGTTATTTTTTCCATGTAAATACAAAAAGGTTTAATTATAAAATAAGTGTACATAATTATTCAATTTTTGAATGATCCCCTAACGTTACAAATATTACCACTTTAGGTGCCCAGGCTATAAACGTCGTTAATTTTTTTAAGTGACACGCGTCACATTCTGATAATTTTAAGAATTATGTTTAAAATTAAAATATTAAAAATTATATATTAAAAAAACAAAAATTTTGAAATAGTTCCAAAACTTTGAAAATTCTCATTTTAACCCTTAAACCCACGCCGCCCACCGCCCTTTTTCATCGACTGACCACTGTCCTTTGTCATCAACGAAGCTCCACTTGACCTCACCTCCATGGTGATCAATAATCCTATGAAATCGTGACCAATCAAAGTTTTTTACCCCGTGAACCCTAGGATGAAAATAGCGATCTCGACGGTCAATCGACGACAACTATGACGACATATGACTAGGAAGATGGTAGGAACTACTTCGACAACGGGTTAGAGATTTCATATCTGTAATGATTTGTGATTTTTTTTAATTTAAGAGAAATTAGGGGTCTTTATAAATATAATATTATTTTTAATTTTAAAAAAAATAAATTTCAAAATTACCAAAATGTAACACATGTCACTTAACAGAAACAATTAACGATAGTTGGCTCGGACACCTAAAATGATAATATTTGTAACATTAGGCACCTAGATCATTCAAAAAGTAATTTAGGCTCTCATTCATGAAAAGCAATATAGTCCGGACGCTTATTTTATAATTAAGCGATATAAAAATAAATAATTATTTTAAAAGTTAATTATGAGTGGATCAATTATATGAAAAAAAGTAAAATAAGTTATTTTTATTGAATATGACCGTAAATAACGTGATCAAAGAGTTCATAGAATATGAAGTTGTAAACAAAGAGAATCACACAGCAATCAATCATCGCTCAATTTTGAGAGCACTTTAATTTTAGAATCAATCCATCACAAGCAGCTTTATACATCAGATAGGTAACACCTCTAAATTGATACGGGTGATTCAATCCGATTCGAGGTGTCACATTTAGATCATCGGAGCGACCCACTATAAAAACTCGAGAGAAGCAAAATTTTAACCAATAAAAAATTAAATTCGTAAAACAATCTCAATACGTAAATAATAATACAATTTCAGAAGTAAATTAAATGATTTTTTACTGATTAGAATCATAAATAATGTGACTGGAAAGATACTGAGGTGCTATGCAATCCCAATGAACAATATATTTGCATCCATGCTCTTCACACTCAAGGGCTAGATCTTGGCATGGCTCACCACAGTCATTGCATTCCGCGTAATAGTAGATCTTCTTGACAAAAGTGAGAGTATGTGGATGACCTTCGTATGCATATCTACTTCCGGCCCTGATAAACGAGTACTTCCCGAGAACGCATTCGATATGCATGGTATTGTCACAGGTTTCACAACAATAAAACCATTGTCGCGGATCTCTTTCTTCTTCACAGATGTCACAATAACGTCGAAGAGGATAATCGTCACGATCTCGATAAGCAAGTGTCAAAGAATGTTTGTCACACTTGTGCCAAGCAGTTTGTGGTAATGTAGCACATCTCCAATGCAAAGCAAACGTGCAGTCCTTGCATCTGTATGCAATTACAGAACTTGCATCTTTATCACAACAACTGCACTTTCCTTCGTATTCGTCGTCGTGGAAGAGAAAATGTGCCTGTGCCTCAGATGTGCTTTAGTATCTCACAGTTTTACATATCAAGCGGATGAGTCACATTTTCGCGGGAGAAATACTGTAACGGATGCGTGTTGCCTATCGTATCCTCGTTTTACTATTGTTCACACTGTGATTTCTTTCTGCACAAAACATATCAAGCGGATGTGCTTTAGTATCTCACAGTTTTACACTACATCTGTGCAGAAAGAAATCACAGTGTGAACAATAGTAAAACGAGGATACGATAGGCAACACGCATCCGTTACAGTATTTATTGCCCTTAAACTCGTCTGAGAATATCAAGTTGTGCTCATGACTAACATGTTCTATCTCTCCCGCTATTTCATCGTCCCCGACTTTGATTTTCTTTATAACACGAACGATGGAACTCATGGATTCATCGGACAACAAAGTGGGATCCATAAATTCGTCATATTCGTCTGGACTGCCTACCTCGAGCACCCAATACAACTTCTGCTTCTTGATGGAACACTTGACATGAATAACAAAATCGCAACCTGGTTGAGGGCAATAATAACTCCCATGCTCGATGTTCACCTTTCCATAACAGATTCTGCAATCCCAAGTTCTAGAATCATGGTGATCAATGCAGAGGAAAAAGCAGTGGGAAATGGGATGGGGATGAAGAGTGAGTTTAATGCAGCGTGGTAACGAAACGCAGTCCTTGTGAACTTGAATGTTGCAAGTAGAGCAGATGTAGGAGACATGATTTCCCCGGTTACCGCATGCATTACATTCGAATGTGTTATTCGGTCTTAACAACAAAGTGAATGGATGATCGTGATGATATTTGTCTACGATAATGGACGGAGGCCACGCACATCCGACGTGAAAGGTAACCTCGCAAGGCACACATCGATAAAAGAATCCTCCGTGAGAGCATCGGCACATTAAGCATTCTAAGGCGGATACATCGGAATAAAGCGTAAGTTGGTGTTTGCGGTGGCAAGGATGACTAATGGCAGTGGGTAGTTCAAGGCATTTTTTATGGAAGAACTTTCCACAATCAAAGCAAGTGAATGAAGCATCATGTTCTTTTATTGTGTCTCTACAACCCTCACAGTTGAAATATCCAAATAAATTAATGGAAAACAAAGGGTGTTCATGTGCAGCATGGAGGGTTTTGATGATTTTTCCGGTAGTGTCTCGTGGAAGCAAAGCGCAATTAACATCGAGGTAAAATTCGCAAGATGAACAATGATAAACGAATCCCTTAACCTCGAACCGATAAATTCTGCAATTGACTCGTCTTTTCCGTTGCTCCGAACCCGGAAGAAGGAGAAGAAGGGGGTGGTCGCGGTGAGCAGGGTGACAAATCTCCAAGGGCGCCTCGGCACATTTCTTGTGGAGGTAAAACCGGCACTCCCCGCAGCTGTAGCTCGGTCCCTGCACCAGTTTGGAGCACCCATGGCAGAAGCCACTGTAGTGGCTTGGACTGGTGTCTTCGTCGAATCGCAACGGATGGTGATGATTCATGTGGTGAAGCGCCGCCATGTTCCTTTTTCTCATCTGAATGCACAAACTCAATGCTTGGCTCCAACATTTGTAATCCTACTGCAGCCAGCCTCAAAACATTATAAAATTGGTTAAAGCATGAAACATCCCACATGGAAATGGAATATTTAATTTGTGGTGGAATAAGAAGAAGAAGAAGTAGAGGGCCATGACTCATGTGACGATGCTCCTACATGTTCATTTACAGGCACCAAGTTAATGCTTAGATCAACTTAGTTAAAACATTAAACATCCCACATGGAAATGGAATATTTAATTTGTGGTGGAATAAGAAGAAGAAGTAGAGGGCCATGACTCATGTGATGAAGCTCCTCCATGTTCAATTACAGGCACCAAGTCAATGCTTAGATCCAACTTAGTTAAAACATTAAACATCCCACATGGAAATGGAATCTGAATTGACAAACAGGTAATCTGAGCATATTTTTTTTATTTATAGATGTCATAGTAATGTCGTAATAGATAATCGTCACTCGTCACGATCGTAATAAGAAAATGTCGAAGAATATTCATCACACTTATGCCAAGTAATGCTCGGAAATGTCACACATCACTAGGACAGTGAATGAGACAAAACAGATCGTGAGCTACTCGAGATCGACTCGATCAACGCTCAATAAAAACTCGATTCGAGCTCGAATTCTTAACGAACCGAAACATGCTACTTGATATTTGACTCGAAAAACTCGCAAGCAACTCAAAAAGAATATATATTAAAATTTTATTTTTAAAAAAATTTAATTATTAATAATATTAATATTTATGTGTTTTCACGTACTTAAGGTTCAGGTTTGAGTTCTAGTTTGAACTTCAACCGAGTTAAGTTCAAGATGTTTTCTTATTTCGAGCTTTAACGAGCTTCAATTCATGATTTCAAGTTCCAGTCGAGTTTGAAAAATTTAAGCTCATGAGTTTTCGAGCCGAATCGAGTTCAACAATACTCAAGCTCGACTCAGCTCATTTACTTCCCTACACATCTCATGCAAATCAAATGTACAATCCTTACATCTACACATCCCTAAATTATGCCATAAATCTTGACAACAAGCATGGTATTTGCCTTTATGCTTTTCAACATAGAAGATGTAATGTCACAATAGTGTCGTATCGGATAATCGTCACGGTCTTGATAAGCAATGCAACGACAACAAAATCATAAATTAAACATAACAAACAGTTTTAATTTAGACTAAAGCAGTTTCATACATCATTCACTACTACTGCCACTACCACTCACACTAATACCATCAAAACTATCAAGCATGTAACGAAAAAACTTGGGTTTTATGCATTTCCAATGAACATTATACTTGCATCCATGCCCCACACACTCAAGGCTAGGTCTTGGCAGAGCTCACCACAAAGAATGCATTTGGAGTAGTAATAAATCTTCTTGATGAATGTGAGAGGATGTGGATGACCTTCATATGTGTATTTGCTCCCAGCCTTGATGAATGGATAATCTCCGAGAACACATTCGATATGCATGGCATTGTCACAAGCTCTACAATGGTCAAATCATTTCCGTGGATCTCTTTTTTCTTCACAGATGTCACAGTAATACCGTAGAGGATAATCATCATGGTCTTGATAAGCAAGTGTCAGAGTATGTCGATCACACTATGCCAGGCGGTATGCGGTATTGTAACACATCTCCGATGCAAAGCAAATGCACAATCTTTGCATCTGTATATTTCGCCGGGACGATGAAACTCCTCACCACAAGCACTGCACTTCCCGTTGTAGTTGTCAACATAGAAAATAAAATGTGGCTCTTCTGCTTGATATGTGAAGCTGTGAGGTATTGGAGCACATTTAAGGCACATGCACCCAAACTTATTCCATTCGAAAGCATCTGTTATGTAAGAGAAACCACTACACACATGGTTACACAAATAGCATAAGAAAACATCATCCATGACAAGACGGAAGGGATTTGCGTCGATCAATAGTCGACATATCATCCGCGATTCAGCACATGCCTTGTGCAGGAAGAAATCACAATGAGAACAATAGTAAAATGGTGAAAGGATAGGTAGGACACAACCATTGCAATACTTATTATCTTTGATCTCATCTGAAAATATCAAGTTGTGTTTATGGCTAACGTGTTCTATCTCTATAGCTATTACATCATCCCGACTTCAGTTTCTTTGATGATAAGCGATGTGTGATTTAAGTGCTTTGCAATTGGTGCAAGTGTACATGTCACAAGTTATAGTATAGAAAAGATATCGTCTCCACAAGGATTGGTGTAACTATGTATCTAACTTCGTGCACTGTTAAGAATAAATAAATTGGTAATAGTATGAGAGTAAATAAACAAATAAAATAAATGAACAAGTAAATAAAAGTAGATTGATATCAAGCAAAAGAGCAGGTCGGGTTATCGTGATTAGTGGTGTGACAACTGTAAATCAACCAAAATGTAATATCAAACTTAACGATGAAATAAACTATGAAAATGCAACTAGACCAAACCTAAATCTAGCAATAATTATGGCTAAAAGGTAGAAAATATAGTACTTTTATACGCTTAATAATAAGGATGATGGAACTTGTATCATCAGATTCCTCGAATTTGTCTGGATTTTTAACCTTAACCACACCATACAATCTCTTGTTCTTAATGGAGCACTCAACATGGACAATAAAATCACAATCCGGCCGAGAACAATAGTAACTCCCATGCTCAATGTTTACTTTCTTGTAACAGATTCTGCAATCCCAAGTTCTGCAATCACTGTGGTCGATGTGGACGAAAAAACGATGAGAAATGGGACGGGGATGAAGATTGAGTCGAATGTGGCGTGTCAATGAAATGCAATCCTTGTGAATTTGAATGCTGCAGATAGAACAGATATAGGAAACACTATCTCCCTGGTTGCCACATGCGTCACAAAAGAAGGGATTATTTGGTCTTAACTACAAAGTGAAAGGGTGATCATGATGAGATTTACCTTCAATAATGGGTGGCGGCCAAGCACATCCGAGGTGCATGTAAAACTTGCAAGGGGCATGATGATAAAAGAATACGAGTCGAATAATAAGTCGGCACAAGTTGCATTCAGGTAACTCTTCTTCGGAATCATTGAAAACAAGCGAAAGCTGGTGTGTACGTTGGCAAGGGTGATCAGCCGTCGAGGACAGTTCAATACATTTTTAATGGAAGAGCGTCATACAATCAAAACAACCGTACGAAATATCGTCCGAGCCGCGGCAACCTTTGCACGGATAAGTACCACTAAATGGATTAATTGAAACAAAAGGATGTTCGTGGGAAGCATGGAGGGTTTCAATGAATTTTCCAGTAGTGTCACGTTGACTAACTAATATCATTAATTTATTGAATACAAGTGGATGTTCATGGCTAATGTGGTGGAGCTCCCCTATGTTTCTTTCTCTACGCGTCGGGCTTAAATGAATTGGGCTTGAACGAACAAAATTATGTTCGTATTCGTTTGTTTATTTTTAAGGTGTTCATGTTCAGTTGATATTTGTTTATTTATTTTTAAAGTTGTTCGTATTAATTCATTTAGCGTTCACAAACATATTCGTTTAACGAACATGTTTATTTAACATTCACAAACATGTTCATTTAACATTCGCCAACATTGATATTTGTTTATTTATTTTTAAAATTATTCGTGTTAATTCATTTAGCGTTCACAAACATATTCGTTTAGCAAACATGTTTATTTAACATTCACAAACATGTTTATTTAACATTTGCCAACATATCCGTTTAACGTTCGTCAATCAAGACTCTCATTCTATCCTACTATCAAATCAAAGAAAAATAGTAAAATTATGTCATTGGTCCTTAAGTTCCTTCAGATTGACAATTTGAACATCATCTTTATCATTATTTAAAATGAAAAAGACAAGAAAAATGAAGACCAAGTAAACAAACTTATAAATTAATCGATAAACGAGTTTGTTCGTGAATATAAACGAACCGAACATATATTTGTTCGTGTTCGTTTGTTAAATAAGCATAAAATCTTTTGTTTATATTAATTTGTTTAACTTAATAAATGAACATTATACGATTATACGAATACGAGAGGGAAAAACAACGTGCAAATTTGATCCATCACATTCCCAAATTGAAGCATCCATTACGCCAGAAAACAATCAATATCCGAACGCCTTATGAAGTTCTTTTTTTAATTATTTTCTTATAAAAATCTACGATTTTACAATCTCTTGAGACTTTTCTTTCTAGCATCCATTTTCTTCTTGACTGCAGGAACTTTATGTAAACCTTCCTTCTTAGGTGCAGTAGTGCCCGATATTCCCACTACGCCGCTTCCACTAACCCCAGTTTCAGTTGCCGGAACCGTGGACTGTTGATGCTGGTGGTCTGGGTTGTTGCTTCCTTTTGTTGATGCGGTCGTCGGGGTGAGTGGGGTAGGCAACGATAACCCGGCACCACTTGCTGCATTTTTCTGCTCAACATTCAGAACCGAGGTGTTACGCTGCTCCACATTCAACGCCGTAGTTGACTCGCAAATAGCTCCTGATTTGAACTTTGGTTTTGGCTTTGCATGGATTCCGGTATAAAGCCTGTGTTAAGAACAGAAGATTGTGAGACCTGCATAGTTGTGCATCACTCATACCATCTTTGGACCTTCCTATTTCAATCGGTTCACAAAACAATAGATGCTCTTGTATGATATTAAACTATAATATCTTATCTATCTGCAAGGCATAATAGAATAACAATATATGAAAGCTTGATCGTCCGTTTGTAGAAGAAGTCGAACAACTAAAGTAATATACAGAATGTGAAGCCAGTCCAACTGGACGAGTTTGTGACCTTCCAGCTGAAGGTCCTATATTCCCACATCGCAAAATATTAAAATAACGAATAAATTTGTTAGGTATAGATGGGTTAGGCAAGCTACACCTGGCATGCCGGCCATACTCGTCATAATTTTCAAGCAGCATCTTCCCAGCCTGTTCATTTAGAGCTGATTCTGGAAATGGTTCAATCAATAAACACCTAACTACCTGCAGTGCCAAGGAAAATAAAAGACATGAATCTAAAGTTCTAAAGCTGAATTACCGAAAGAAATTTGCAGTCCTTTGCGGTTCTTATCAAACAAACTGATAAAAAAATACAAGAATCAAGTATGGGTCCGATGGAACTTACAATGAGTACATGTCGTAATCCAAGACTTGGATTCCAATCCTTTTTTAGAGTGTTTACGCAAATTTCACCATTGGTCGCAATATTTGGATGAAAAATCTTTGTCAGGAAGTAGCCTGCAGTACCCAAGGACTTCATAATATTCACTATTGCTTGGTGACTAAAAAATCGAAGATGATTCACATGACCCAGTTTTGAATTTTTCTAGCTCATAGCAGTGTTGAAATCTAACTATGCTTGGATTACTATAATAACTTATAAAACACGCCTATTAAACGCAACTGCAAGCAATGAAGTTGCGTTATATACTTCAGAAGTCCGAATGGCATGATCCAGTTTTGAAATTTTCTAGCTCATAGCAGTGTTGAAATCTAATTATGTCTGGATTACTATAATAACCTATAAAACATACCTTTTGGAGGAGAATGAGGGAAATCACGAGACAGTAATAACTTCATACGGAAAACACCATTTTCATATGGAGTCCCAGCTGCAAAGCCGAAAATATTCTCAGTAAATGGAAGAGTAACAAGCATGCTGCAAAGGAAGTAAATTTGTCCGGAGAGAATTACTTGCCTGGCCCTTCAATGTCGGCATAAATGATTGAAAAGTCATCATCATTTACACCAACTTTAATGCCTTCCGGTGGCGACTCATCGAGACTCTTCAACTCCTTTGCCAGTTGCTTTATAACATTCGGTGGAAGATTTTCATTGGTTGCCTAACAAAACACAATAGAACAATGTAATAAACACAATTACTAAATGATCAAATAATGAGTTCATACACAATGAAAATGTCATAACACATAAAGTTTGAATTTGGTTTTCTTAAATCAGCATATTAATCGGACACCTAAAACTTTCTTAGCTGACTAGGAAAAATAATACATGCAACTAGCAATTGAACATATAAATGGCAGAAACTTACCATGGTGAGGGAAGAACAATAATCCTAGAAGAAAAGCCTCAGAACCACAGTAAGACGATTCCCAAAAGTCCACAAAGTTTTGCACTTATTTACAGCGCGAAAAGTGGGAATTCTGCAATTCCAAAACAAGGCATAAAAAAGGTCAGAAGATTGAAGGAATTCATATTTTATACTGCAAACGAAACAAAACCGAATCCCATTTTTCTTTACAATCAAACAGGCACAACTAGCATCCATCGGTTATCAAAAGCTTAAACCAGCAGCACAACTACCATCTGCTTATGTATTCTTTTTCTCGAAAACAAAGTCTAGCTTATGTATTGTTTTTCTCGAAAACTAAGTTTTTCAGCTTTCGATCAAGTCTAGTTTAGCAATGCAGTTTGTACATTGTGGATCATAAAACTGGTAAAGCAAATGCAAAATCTGTTTGAAGCATAAAACTCACAAACCATGAACAACATTAATGAAACTTTGTGCAAACAATCAAAACCCTAAAAAAAGTTTTCAATCCAACAACTAATTTCAGAAAAACAAACCTAAATTAAACACCAAGTACAAGTCTCACACGCTTCCCAGCAGCTAACCCCGACAATTCCTTTATAATAAATCTATTAAAAACAGTAAAAAAGGGAAAACCCAGACAAAAGATCGACCAAAAAAAGAATCTGAAGCGTACCCATTTCACCAAGAAAGCATAATAATCGAAAGAGAAAAGGAATCGACCATTATAAATTCTTCTTTTTTACACCCAAAAGAAAAAACAAAATCAAAGCCCAAAAAAATCGAGAAAAAAAAATAGATACAGAATCTGAGATCGAACAAGACTGAAGAGATTTGAGAAAGATTACCTTAGGGCTTTATGCACAAAAGCCTGAAGAAGGCAATCTTAATTCTTCTTTCTTCTTTTTTTCGCCTTGGTTATGAAATGTAATGATTGATTGGTTGATTTTGATGACAGCTTTTTATTTAATATTTTGGTTATATTTATTTATTTATTCAAAAATGAAATTTCAAACAAGGTCTGCTGTCCCCAACTGGGGTCCACTTTCAAATATTATATTTTTTTTTGAAAAAGTTAGCCGTTGATTAATTTACACATAATTATATATAGGATAAATTATGCGTTTAATATTTAAATTATTACTTTTAATTCATTTTATTATCTAAATTTTAATTTTTTTCATTTTAGTATCTTGTTCAAATTTTAAAATTAATTTTTTAAAAAATTAAAAATTTAAATATTAAAACGAGTCAAAATTAATAATTTAAATATTAAACACATTAAATTTTTAACATTGAGATACTAAAATGAGTATCTAAAAAGATGTATGACATAAGAGGATGAGACAGAGTGAGTAGCGATGTGATATGATAAGATCATATTCATGTTCATTTCATCATCCATAATGAGTTTAATTTTTGTCTCTATCCTCGTTCCGTCACTCACGGAACATATACTCATCCCCTCGTAACGGATAAGAAATGGGATGAATTCTTATAAAATCAACTTGTTTGCATCTCTAACGGTTGATGACCAAAATAGAAATAAAATATAATATTAGATATAATTTTATAAAAAAACTTAAATAATTAGCATAAAAGTGTTTAAAAATAAGTGAATGTTGAACATAAAATTTATCTATATATTTTCTAATTATTATAAAATTCATTAATATTTTATAAGGTAAAATACACAAATGATCCCTCGACTATAAGATATTATTTTATTAAGTTTCTCGATTATTAAAAGTTATAAAATGGTCATTTAATTATAAAGTATTTCTTTGTTGAGTCTATTGACCATTAAAAGTTACAAAATTGTCACTCAACTATTCATTATATTTCAAACTCGTACTTTTCTGTTAAAAATGTGGCTTTATTCTGAGTTGAATAATAAACTAACTGTGATACGATAAAACTCGATCTTATAATCTCAAACGACTATAATATCTCAACCATCATGTTAACATCCAACTTAGATAACAATCAAATTATTAATGATAAAGGTTGAGTTTTGAACATAATAAATAATCAAGTGATCATTTTATAATTTTTAATAGTCGAATGACTTAACATAATAACATTCTAATTATAATTTTTAATAATAAAAATAACTTAATAAAATAATACTTTATAATCATAGTTATTATTTATTATTTACTTTATCCTATTTTATTTTATAATTATAAATTTTTATTATTAATGTTTCATCTTATTAAATCAATTTATAATATCAATTTTCAATCATTTAGATAATCACGAGAAAGGAAAGACACTACATTCTTAGACAAGAAGAAAAAAGATACGTCTAATCTGAGACCGGCCTGTACGAGATTCACGGGATTGATATTTAAAAACGTAGAGTTAAGGCTGTGTGAGATTCACACGCTTACCTCGAGATTATCAAGATGAAGCCTTGCGTTTCACTCTTTGGTAGTGCGCGTGGAATAAAAATCTCTTTTTGGCAGTAAATGGACCTACATACCTAATCTATCTGGGATTCTGTGTTTTTGGTTTTGTTTGCCAACACCAATAAAATGAATTTATCATATTTTAAATAAAAACAATTAAAATAAAAAAGATTTCAAGTGAACAATTAATTTAAAAAGTAAAAAAAGGCATTAGTGGTCATTATATTTTGAAAAAAAATAATATAATTCTCGTATTATTTTTAATATGATAATTCAATTCAGAAAATAAATCTAATGTGATTTTTGATTAACATTTTTCGTCTTTAATCTTTATAGTATTAGTGTGTCAGTTTATAGTGTTGACGTGACAATTCACGGTGCTGACGTGGTAGTCCATGTATCATGTTTAAGTTACCAATTTAGTCAATCTGACATATCATTCGCCACGTTAATCTACCACCTTGGACTGTCATGTCGCCACCGTAGATTGCTATGTCAGCACCATGAATTATCACATCAGTACCGTAATGGTCAACGATAAAAAGTCGTTGGTCAAAAGACTACATTGGATTTATTTTATGAGTTGAAGGACCACATTGAAAAAAAAATAATATGAGTCGGACATTAATTTTTTTCCAAAAAGTAAATAGACTACCGATGACATTAGATCTAAATACCACAAATTTGTTTAATTTCTTTAGCTTAGTTGGCCTCATTAGATTTATCATAAAATATATAAATTTTATAGGAAACGTGATTTAAGGTGAAGAATAATGTTTGGAAAATCTATTTTAAAACAAAATATACAAAATTTATAAATTATGTATTTATCGAAAATTATAATATGTTTTAAAATATAGATTAATATATTAAAAATACAATGTTTATTGAAAAAAAGTAAGCCTACACATTGGTACTGAGATAAACGGTCGAATGTTCAAGTTAAGAATGCAATATTTGTTCTAAGATAACTCTCAAGCTCTTAACATTGAATGTTTACACCTCTGACGTTTTCGGTGCTCGAACCTAGGTTTCAAAGAACGCTAACTATTCTTTTACTACAGAGACAACTCGGTTCGTGCGCAATTTGAAAGTTTAATAATTAAATTAAATTTTTTAATCATTAATGATAAAATAGAAGTAATGAAATTGAATGATGTAACAATTTACCCTATATTTTATTGTGTTTAGGTATAGCGGGCTTTTTACCTTTTTTTCATAAATATACATCTTAATACCTAAATTTGACTTTAATACTCAATTTAATATTCAAGTTTTTTTTGTCAAATTAGGTACCTAAACTTGATGTCAAAATTTAATTTGGTACCTAAACTTTTTTATGATCCAATTAGCTACTTGAAATTGACTTTTTGGTTCAAACTGCTATCCTAATTTGGCTTCATTGTTCATATTGATTCAAATAAGTCATTTATCATAAATACCAATTTGAAACAAAACAAAACATGCTCAAGTACAATTTTGAATCAATAAGCCAAGTTTAGGTAATTGGACAAAGAGAACTTTAGGTACAAAATCGAACCTGAAAGTTAAGTTTAAGTACATAATTGGACTAAGAATGTGGGTATCAAATTAAACCTTAACGTCAAGTTTAAGTACATATTTAGACAAAAATACCGTACGTACCAAATTGAATGTTGAAACCAAATACAAGTACCAAAATATATGCTTAACCTTTTTTTAAGGTAACCTTGTATGGGGCTCATTAAAAACCCTTCTAAACCTAACAAGGTAAAAAGAGTGCCCGACTGTCGTACACCCAGGATACCCTCCCCCGACTGACAAGTAGGGGTTGCATCAAAAATATAATCATCATCACACCTCCAAGCTCCTCAGCCCTAGAAATGTCAATGACCTCACCTGCATATTCACAAATAAAAGCCCCGGAGCGGATAGGATCCCAGGACCTTAGACCCCAACCTTTATCTTTAGTTTTAAATACCTCTAAACGAACTTTCAGACCACTCTGACATACCCTATTCTTGCAATTAGGAGGGCACATGCAGGAAGAACCGCACTCATGTATCAAGGCTTTTTGGCTGACAAGAACACCGTTGGTCGTATATGGGAGATGGCCAACGTTTCGTTGAATGCAAGGGCAGTTGGAGATACTAGCTAGACACCCACCATGGCAATCACAGCCAGTTGAAGATTCGTTTGAATTTACAGGCTTTGAGTATCTTAGACCGGGATAATACGTGAAATTTGCCGGGCCCTTTTCATCATCGACATCATTTACAAGAGAAACAGGCATGCTTTCAGCCCCAAAAGCGAGATCTTGCAATATAAGGCCAACTCTAGCAGCACTGCCATCCTTCCATTGCTGAACGGATTTCCACACGGTATATGCTTCAGTCTGCCCGGATAACCTAACTAATTTGTACTTAAAAACATTGCAACCAGACTTCCCTTTGTCCACCCATGACTCCTGGATTTTATACATATATCTTTACGGTTGGATATGATATATCTTTTACACCACGAATCACTCGAACCTCGTTACCTCGATGCAAGCTCTTCTCCAAAGCAAGATTTCCCCTTTCAAGCTTCTGATCAGTTATTTCCATGCCTCTATTATTAACGTTTCCACCTTGGCCACTACAAAACAACAAGTCGCCATCCTCGGAATTATCTTCATACCCTCCGGACAAGACAATGCTGACTGCTACAGGCTCTTCACCTTGAGAAATCTTGAGCCCCATGTAATCAATGCCAGCCATAATTGGAGCATGCAATCCAATCAAACACATCTCCATCCTAAAAAAGAAAATATCTCCAATCTCCACACCAGGCACAACACCAATTCTCTTCTTCACATTAGTCCGAATCCCTTTGTTCAGTAGGATCGTTCCCGCTCTTAAGTCGCATTGTCTCGTTGCTCCTGGAGCAGATTCCTTCGCATCCTCAATCTGAGAAAATTTTCTTCGGAGCACATCGTAGATCAACCTTATATATCCTACTGCTTCCGTGTCACCACCGGCTCGCCTGAACGTATCGAAATCCAAGAGATTAAATGACTCGACAATTTTATCGACAACACCATCTATATCCGCATCAGAGGACGCAATATTGACGTCCTGGCTGCCGCCAGCCCACGTCCTTTTCTGACTCTTTTTCCTTTTGGGGGCGGCCTTGCTTGAATCTTCAACATCAACTACATGAACCCCGTCATTGTAACCATCCTCTTCGTGTTCCGACAAACCCGGATTTCTCGAACTCCTTCCGGCATCCCCATTCGCTTCACGTTGTGAGTGTCCGGGTAACCGGCATACGGATAGAATGGCGCAAAACCAGACTGGAAAGGACCACCGGTAGGAGCGCACTTAAAAGGCGAGGCAGCTTGGGGATGCGGAAACAAAGGGAAGCTCGGCGCCGGAGTGAATATGGGAGCCAAACATCGTAGTGGCTTAACATTCAAAATCCTAGATTTATATTCTTCCCCACCGCCGTCTTCCATTTCATATAAATCGAATTGCAAAAGACTTTGTGTTTCTCTACGATTTGAAGAACTGTTAAGCTAATTAAGCAACCCAAATCTAAACAAAGGAAACCCCAGCAGATCAGAAA